CCCGCCGGTCAGAGACCCCGAAACAACCCAAAATACCCCCAAACGGCCCTAAGCACCCCTGAAAACACCCCCACATGCCCTCAAAACAGATCGAAACAGCCCTAAGCCACGCCCTAAACGTCCAAAAGTACTCCAAGCACACCCAAACCACCCCAAAATACCCAACAAACAAAACATCCCACAACACCCCAAAAACACACCTAGAGACCCCCAAACTACCCTAAAACCACCGCAAAAAACACCCCCAGACCTCAAAAACCAACACAAACCACCAAAAATCCATCCTGAAATACCCCAGAAACACCCTCGAACATCCCCAAACCCCTCTGGGACCCCTAAACACCCCTGGGACCTCCCAAACTTCCTCAGGGAGCCCCTAACCTGCCTCCAAAGCCCCCCCAACCCCTGTGCCTCACTGGTACTCCCTCGAGGTCTCACCTGTGACCCCCCAATTCCCCCAAGCACCTCCTGAACCCCTTTTTCCCCCCAGGACCCAGCTGCTCCCCGATACCCAGGCTCTGATGGTGCAGCTGGAATTGGCCCCCGACCCCTTTTTTGGGGTGATGGGAGTGGAGCTTCCTCAGGTACTGCCCCCCCCCCATAGTCCCCTAGTGACCCCACATTTCCCCATTTTTCCCAAATTTCCTCAAATTTTCCCGAGACTCCCCCAAATTTGCCCAATTTTCCCTCAACTTCCCCATTTTTATCCCACTTTACCCCAAATTTCCACAATTTCCCCAATTTTGGTCCTGGGTGGGTGTGGCTGCTTCCCACAGCCATAGTGTTTGATTGGAGGAGCCCTGGGGCAGGGCCTGCTTGGTTCCTGCCCAGAATTGCCTAGAACTTGCCCAAAATTTCATTGAGTTTGCCTCAAATTTCCCCATTTGCCCTGCAGAATTTCCCCATTTTTCCTCAGTTTCCCCCAAATTTCATAAGTTATCCCAGATTTCCTCATTTTCACTCTAATTTATCCAATTTTGCCCTGGTTTCCCAAAATGCCTCCAAATGTGCCTCAGTTCCACAAGTTGGCCCAAAAATTCCTCGAATTTGCCCCGAATTTCCCCATTTCTGCCTCAGTTTTCCTCAGATTTCATCAATTTCCCTGTAATTTTCTCGTTTTGTCTCTAATTTCCTCATTTTTGCCTAAATTTGCCTAATTTCTCTCCAGTCTTTCCCATCTTTGCCCCCAGTTCCCCAAATTCTCCCCAAAATCCCCCATTTTTGCCCACATTTCTCAGAATTGTTCACAGATTTCCCCATAGTGACCCCAGGCCGGTTTAGAGTGGTTCATACTGGTTTATACTGGTCTGTGCCTCCTCCACAGGTCGAGGAGCTCCTGCCCCCCCCCATTGAGATCGAGTTCCCCCGAGGTGAGCTCTGGGCTGTACTGGCCTGTACTGGTTTGTACTGGTGGGTGTAGGTGGGGTTAGGGCTGGAAGGGGGATGGTTGTAGGTCTGTTCTGGTCCTTACTGGATTGTGGTGGTGGGCTCGGGAGGTTCAGGACTGGTACAGAGGTTGTATAGGGGTGGTCAGTGGTCCATACTGGTTTATACTGGTCTGTAGTGATCTCTTCTCATTCCCATTAGTCCACACTGCTCCGTACTGGTGGGTGCCAGGAGCTCTGGGGGGGTGAATGCCCGTCTGTGGTGCTCCTCACCCTGCACTGGTGTGTGCTGGTCTGTGCCCCCAGGGCCCCCCGTGACGGTGTCCCCCGAGATCATCACCCTGCGGGAACCCGAAGTGCCGCCGCTGCCCCGCCCTGGAGGTGCCACAGTTTGGGGGTCTGGGAGGTCCTGGCTGTCACCTGGGGCTCCCTGGGCAGCACCTGGGGGGCACTTGGGGATTGCTGTGGGTCTCTGGGGGGTCCCTGGGGGTCTTTGGGGGGCCCAGAGGTAATCTTTGGGTCTCTGGGGTCAGGAGGAGCTGCCTGAAGTGACCCCCAGAGAGCTGCAGCTGCTGCTCGAGGCTGAAGGCGAGGATTCTGCTGCCCCGGGTGAGGGGGCGGCACTTGGGGCAGGGGGGGGCTTGGGGGCACGGGAGGCACTTGGGGGGCAAGCAGAGACTGTGGAGGGGGGGTTGGGGTCATGGGCATTGGGCTGGGAGGAGTTGGGAGACACTTGGGGGTTGCTATGGGCACTTGATTTGAGGCATTTGGGTCCATGTGGGGCAGGTGTTGGGCTGGGGGGATTGTTGAGGCACTTGGGTCACTTGTGGGGCTGGGGAGGCCACTTGAGGGACAGGAGAGGCGGGTGGGGGACCTTAGGGTCTGTTAGGTCATTTGAGGAATCTTCTGCCACACAGTGGAGGAACTGGAGGAGCTGCCGGGCGCCACCCCCATCCCGTGAGACTTGTGGGGGCATTATGGATGGGAGCAGCTTAATGGGCATGGGGGGGCACTTTTGGGCTGGGGCAATTATGGGGTGGAGCACTTGTGGGGATGGGGGGCAGTTTTGTAGAGTGGGACACTTATGGGTCTGTGGGGGCACTCTTGGGTTAGGTGGGGTACTTATGGGGCTGGTGAAGCCATTCTGGGCAGAGTCCCCCCCCCCGGAGGAGCCCGCCTGCCGCCCCCCATTCCGGAGTCCCGGTGCGTTCGCCGCATCCCCGTCGTCGCCTCCCACCCCTCATGGACCTCGTGCCCCACATCTCCCCCAAGCTGTTCCGGGCACAGCTGCTCCAGCCCCAAGCCCACTGTCAGCCCCTGGTGAGTGTGGGGGTTCTGACCCATAGACCTGCCCCACAGATCCCCCTGCCCTGTAGATTGCCCCATAGATCCCCTCTGGCCCAGAGATCTCTCCTGCTCCATGTATCTGCCCTATGCCCACAGATCCTTCCCTGCCCCATAGATCTGCCCCATAGACCCCTCTTCCCCATAGATCTAGTCCAGAGGCCCCCCTGCCCTGTACATTAACGCACAGATCCTGTCTCTGCCCCACAGGTGCTGCTGGAGCCGCCCCACAGGTTCCGCCGCCCCCCAAGTGAGCTCCTGAACGCCCCCACCCACGGTGAGACCCCCACAGCCACCCCCTAGCAGGGGATTCCTGCCCCATAGTGGGGGTTACTGCCCCATAGTGGGTGACCTCCCGCTCTGCCCCATAGATTGGCTGCCCCCTGAGCTGTGGGAGCTGTGGGGACGCTGTGCCCAGCGCCCTGCCCCGCCTGCGGCCCCGCCCCCAGAGCTGCCCAGCGACTTGGAGGTGAGGCCCCGTAGATCCCAATCCTGCCCCATAGATCTACCCCATAGACCCCAATCCCGCCCCATAGACCCACTACCCCACACCCCTGTCCCTCTCCAGGTGCTTCGGGAGGCCCTGGAGCCGAGTCTGCCCACCCTGATCTCAGGTGAATCGGGGGGGGCTCTATGGGGCAGTATGGGGCAGTGTGGGGTCGCTGTGGGGCACTTGGAGGTCACTGCTGGGCAATTTGGGGGTCACTATGGGGGAGTTTTCAGTTGCTGTGGGGCAGTTTGGGGGTCGCTATGGGGCAGTTAAGGGTCGCTGTGGGTAGTTTGGGGTCACTCTGGGCCGGTTGGGTCACGGTGGCACAGTTGTGGGGTTGCTGTGGTGTGGTATCGCTGTGGGGCACCCTGAGGGCAGGGCCAGGGGATCACTTTTGTCCCTTCCCCTCCCCAGAAGTGTCCCTGGAGCCCCTCGAGGAGGAGCCGCTGGAGAGACTGTGAGTGGGGGCGTGGCTGGGCAGGGGTGTGGCAAAGGGCAGGGAGGTCACCAGCAGCCAATTAATGCTCGGCAGGGCCTGGGAAAGGGGCGGGGCTTATTCTGGGTGGGCGGTGATTGGTCTGTTGTAGTGAATCCAGGTGCAGCTAATGGACAGCGCAGGACTGGGGGTGGAGCTTGGTTTGGGGGCGGGGCTTTCGCTTGGGGGCAGGTCTTGCACCATCCAGGGGGAAAAGGGGTGTGTCCTAAGAAAGGGGCGGGGCTTGGGAAGGGAGCAGGGTTGGGGAAAAGGGGGCAGAGCTAGAGGAAATGGGGCAGGGTTTGGGGAAGGAGGGAGGGCTACGGCAGAAAGGTGTGGGTTGGGGGGAGTGGGTGGGGTCACACTGACCCCCTAAGTACTGCCCACAGGCCCCCGGCCCCACCCATTGTCCCAGAGCTTCCGGAGCTTCCGGAGCTGGTGGAAGCTCCTCCCGACCTTCGGAGGTGAGTTGGGATTGGGATCTGTGGGGTGGGATTGGGATCTGTGGGATTAGGGAGCATTTTGGGAACATTGGGCAAAAATGGGGAAATTTGGGGAGTAGAGGGAAAATTTGGGGATTGGGATCTGTGGGATCCGGACTGTCCCCAGACTGATCCTGGAGCACGCCCAGCGCCCGGGGGGATCGGAGCTGACGGCCATGCTGCCCCCGGGGGCATCCCGCGCTCGCGTGGCAAAGATCTTTGCCCTCTGCCTCGGTGAGTTTAGGGACATCCCCCTTTTGCCAAACCACGCCCCTTTCCTCACGAACCCACCCCACCCACCCTTTCCACACCGCGGCTCCTTCCCCAAGCCCCGCCCTTCCTACAAAAACCCAGCCCTTGGCTACTGAGCACCTTTTGCTTTAAGCCCGCCCCTTCCCCACCTGCTCACCTTCCAGACCTGCCCCTTTTCCCCAAGCCCCACCCCTTCCCCAAACCACACCCCCTTTCCTACCCCATTTCCTTGAAGCCATGCCCACTTTCCCTAACCCATCTCCCCAAGCTCTGCCCCCTTCCCACAAGCCACATCCTCTGTGTCCCAAACTCCTCCCTTTCCTGAGGGCCCTCCCCTCCCCCACAGCTCCAGCCCCGCCTCCTTCCCACAAACCACACCCATTGGCCCAACCCCTCTCCCTAAGCCCTGCCCCCTAACCCCAAGCCCCGCCCCCTCAGAGCTCTGTGGTGCCCATTGGGTGCGCCTGGACCAGCCTCGTCCCTACGGACCAATCACTGTCTCTCTCCGTCCCCGCCCGGAATAAACCCCGCCTTCTTCTGGCCTGTTCTGGGCATTGATTGGCTGCCAGTGATGTCACTCGGGGAGGGGGCGGGGCCTCTAGCACCTCCTGCAGGTGGGTGGGTGGGGCTCAGCCTGGCCACGCCCACCTGGAGGTCCACTGAGTGGGGCAGGGACCCGACAGTGATGGGGATGGGGCAGAGCCCCCTTTACCTGGGGGCACCTGGGATACACCTGGACAGGCACAGTGCCCTGGGGCATCATGGGATAGCACCGTGGGGAGGTGGCATCACTTGCACAGGTGTGGACGCACCTGGGGGGCACCTGAGGGGGGTGGGAACACCTGGGACACATCTGGATGTCCCTCAGGGTCACCTGGACACTCCTGGGGTAACCTGGGGGGAAGGTGAGAGGGTCTAGGGGGGATGATGCTGCGGTCACCTGGACACCCCTGAGGGGGTCGGGGGTCTCACCCCACCTGCTCGAGCGGGACCTGCAACTGGTCATGGGTGAGGGGCAGCACCTGGGACCAGTATAAACCAGTATGGAGTCATGGCTGCCCCATAATGACCTGCAAGTGCCCCACAGAGACCTCCAAGTTCCCTCCATCTGCCCCAGTACAGACCAGTATAAACCAGTATGGACCAGTGCAAATTCATGGTTGCCCCATAACGAACCACAGAGAGCCCCACGTGTCCCCATCTGCCCCAGTACACACCAGTATAACCCAGTGTGGACACCCCATTACCAGCACAGGTTTAGCAGCACAGCAGGAGCAAAGGGAAGGCACAGAATACATTTGGGGCTTTCGGAGTGGTCGGGGGGGGGCAGAGGATCTATGGGGGAGTTGGGAGAGCCTGAGAAGTTTGGGGTTTTTGCGTAGGTAGAAGGAGGATTTTGGGTTGTTTTGGGGGGGTTAAGTAGGACTTTTGAGTTTTGGGCTGCTTGGAGGATTTAGAGGGCGTTGTGGGGGCTTGGGGGGATTTTGTTGCCTTTGGAGGGGCTAAAGGAGGGATGGGCAGTTTATGTGGTCTTGGCAGGGGTTTGGGGCGGATTTGGGTGGGACTGGGGGGGGTTTGAGGTATTTGGAGGGATTTGATGGGGCTAAAGAAGGGGATTTGGGGGGTTTTAGGCAGCATTGTAGGTTATTTTGTGGGGGCTAAATGGGGGGTCTGAGAGATTTTGGGGTGGTCTTCAGGTTTTGGGTAAGGTTTGGAAGAATTTTGGGGGGATTATTGTGGGGAGGCTAAACTGTGGGTCTGGGGGATTTGGAGTGGTTTAGGGGGGTTTGAGGGGGATCTGGGAGGATATTCTGGGGTGTTTCAGGTGGATATGGGGAGGCTGTGGGGAGTCAGAGTGGCTGGGGATTTTGTGGGGGATCTGGGGGGATTTAGGGGGTTTTGAGGAAGATTTGGGGGGGTTGGGAGGTTATGGGAGTTTTGGTTGAGATTTGGGGGGAAAAGGGGGGTTTTCAGAAGAAAAGGGCTTTAAATCAAGAGGAAAACCTATTTTTCTGTTATTTAAAAGATTAAATCAAGGCGAAAACCGACTTAGATACCACTTTAAGGCTTTAAATTAAGGGGGGAAAAAGCGGGAAACACGAGGGAGAAAAGGGTGGGAACTGTGAAGGGAAAAGGGTGGGAAACAGGAGGTAAAAAACGACAGGAACTGTGAGGGGGAAAAGGCGGGAAACATGAGATGCTTGTGGTGACCCCTAAAGTTCCCCAGCACCCCTTAAAACCACATCAGCACCTCAACCCTCTCCTAGCACCCTCCAAACCATCCCAGCACCCCCAACCCCTCTCTAACCACCAGAGCCATCCCAAAAGCCTTTTAGCACCTCTAGCCCCCCCTCTGGAACTCTAAAACCCCTCCAGCACCCCCTAAAACCTGCTTAGCACCCCAAAACCCCCTCCTAGAATCCCGCTAAACATCCCAGCACCCTCTGAAACTTCTTTAGCACCCCCAGGACACCTCCTAGCACCTTTCAAACCACCCCAGCATGCACAAACCTGTTTTTAAACCCCAGCACACCTCAAAACTCTTTTAGCACCCTCAAGCCCCCTTTACACCCTCTAAGCTATCCCAGCATCCTCAAAACACAACGAGCATCCCCAAACCTCTCCTAGCACCACTCAAAAGAATCCAGCAGCCCTAAACTCCCCTCAAACCTCCCCAGCACACCCCAAAATCCACATCTCTCCTCAAGTACTGGAACACACCCCATACTACCAGCCAAACCATCCCAGCACATTCAAACCACTCTCAAACCTCCCCAGCACCCCCCAAATCCATTTTAGCGCACTGTAACCCACCCTTTAACACCTGCAGCTGCCTCCCAGCACCCATGAAAATGCCATTAGTACCCCCAAGGCCCTCCCCACGCCCTCTAAAACCTCTCTGGCCCCCCAAGCCCCCTCAAACAAGACAGTGGCTGTGAGGCACCCACAAAGCACTCCCTGACATCTCCCATAAGGACATGGCGGCCTCGTCGAGGCCAAACAGTTGTAGGGTACAGTTTAGTAGTTGTATTTAAGCACTTTGGTGTTTGTTTAGAGAGGAAGGCAATGGAATGTTATGAGGTTTTCCCCCCAGGATTTTGAGGTGCTGCCATGAATTACTTTATTTCTGCCTCCCTCCCGATGGTCGGAAGTTTCCCAGCAGTCCCTCGGCAGCTCTTGGGCAGTGCAACTGCCAGAGGTCCCTCCAGACTGTGGGATAGACAAAAACCGCACGGCAAAGGAGAACCTGGATTCGGGAGATGGAGAATCTGATGGCATCAAACTGTGCCAGTACATTGAGTGCGCATGCGCAGGGACTTGAATGGCTCTCCAGTGCCGCCTGCTGATCAAACAGCGGGCCTGCAGCGAAGGGACCTGCGCATGCGCGGTGCCCGCCGGGGCCGCACCGAGGGATGGAGAGCGGGGAGCGGGCGGTGGGGAACGGGAACGGGGAGCG